GAGAGAGAGGGAAGCATAGAGTGCACCTCGTCTAAAACTATATTTTGGGGTGGGGTGAACCTCGCTTTGCGTAAAAAGTCGCATGCCCCTAGGCAAGGAGAGAAGGTGGACCTCGTTTCACATGAAAAGTGTCGGAGTCCTCTAGAGGCAGTCTAGACAGGAGGGAGAAACTGGGAGGTACACCTCACAGGACACCTACAGGTAGGGTCGCTTTGCTTTTTGTTTATGAACTGAAATCCTTTTTTCCTTTTTGCCCGTTTCTGTCCGTAATTGTTATTTTAATGACTGCAGAAATGTTGTACTATTTTTCTCGTGTGTTCCTTGCTAAAAATGCTTCTGAAAATCATTTTCATTTTGAGGGACCAAAATTATCGTAATCGTCCTTTGAAATGTAAATGTATTTTCTGTATTTCTGTGGTTAGTTTCAAAATAAGTATTAGTTCATATTAGGGAGTAAATATTACATTAATAGGTTTGAGTAAAATTAAATGCAATTTCTTGAATTAAATTGTTTAACTTCCTTGTTTTAGTTAAATTAGATAAGCTATACAAATAATTCGAATTAATTAAACCTTAATTAAACCTATTATTAAAGCTTTATACGATAGTTAGATAGAAATTCCAAAGCTACTTTTTCTGCTGGACACATCAATCATTTGTATCCACGTACATATATTTCGCGAGTCGCACTATATTGCGGAAGATTTCGCTCGCCCTCTGAGAACGTCAGAGGATCGGTGAACGATGATCGGCTTCCAGCAAACGGTACGCGGTGTGCATCCCACCGCAGGCAAAGGCATTATCGGTGGCGAGTCACGAACGGGTCTCGGGTGCGCGCGATCGAGAACCGGTTGGACGAAACTTTCGAAAATTCCAGAATGACGTAGTCCTGCTCTCGGTGGGTGTGCGAGCGCAGCAGGTAAAGACGTACGGCTGTGCTTCTCTCATTCTTTATTTACAGTTACTTACGTAACAGACACGAGCCCTCCCTCCCCCCTCTCTCTTTCTCCTATATATTCTTTTTATTTTATATGCATATATATATATATATCATATATTATTTTCTTCTCTTTTTATATAATTATCCAATAATTTCTCATTGCTATTCTTTCGTTATGTTCAAATATTTTATTCTTCTGTAGATTTTAGCATTTTGTAATAAAAATTAAGAACCAAGTGTTATAGAGAATGGTATTCATAGTCTATTCTTATTTTAAGATCGTCTTAAGTAATGTCTTAAGGTGCTAATATGACTCTCTGATCGATTTGTGACATCTAAAGACTGCACTTAATTGACAATGTATATTTTTGTGCGCCTGAAGGAATATCAACAAGCAAATATATAAAATTTCAATAAATATGAAGATCCCATATTTCCGACAAGAAAATGTAATGTACTCACGTTCGTGTTAAATGATCAATGGCAGAGCTTTTTAATAAATGCAATCCCCTCTCTCTCTCTCTCTCTCTCTCTCTCTCTCTCTCTCTCTCTCTCTCTCTATTTGTTAATCAGTTCAATTCGGCTTGATGGCCGCCAGATTCGTGTTTATAAAAAACGTTCATATGTGAAAATATAGTTGTGAAAAAACGATGTGTGTCGCATGCATCACACGTGCACTGCAAGCGGAAATATTACTCACTTACCTCATTTCTCGAGCCATTGCTTTACCTGGGACACTGACAAGAAATCACTGGCGAGTAACAACGCGCCGGTGAACCGCACCGGACAAAAACCGGGGCTTGTAAGTCATGGCGAGAAAACAACTCGCACCGTGATAACTCTCGCGCTACGCGAACGAGCGGACCGGACACGCGGTTCTGACAATCGACGGAAAAAGTCGTTTGTGCAACTATCACCGCAAAGAAAAATGAATACAGGATGTAACCGGTCGATTGAATTACGCGTCGACGATAACCGGATATAATACGTGATATTTGTTGATATAAAACCTGATCGTGTATAAAAAAAGAAAGGATTTTATTACTCAATCGAGCAAATTCTGCGATTGTCATTTCCTGTTACTTCTCGCGATGTATTACAAAGTATAATTGTTTGAATCATAAATAAACGCGTATAATTATTTCAACACATAGTCCAGGATAATAATTCATTTTCACGAAACACGAGCGTGTTTTCGCCCAAGCAAATATAACATTTCAATAAATATAAAGATCGCATATTCCCGATAAGAAAGTTAAATGTACTCACGTTCGCCGCGTTAAATGATCAATGGCAGTAAAACTCGATAATTCGTGAAGAATATCTGGATCTGATAAATCCTTGACGACTGCTTCACGGTTTTCTGAAAATTATAAAAATTTATTATTGAACGCGGTTTTCCTTAAAATCGATGTAAGATAAATCCTTGGAATCCTTGTGTGTGTGTGTGATGAGAAAAATTCTTAATAATAATTTCATTAATTCATATTTTAATTTAAATACGTTTTATAATGCATTTACTTTAGAATCAAATGATTCGAAAACATTAACAATCACTGTTCAGACTTCACAAAATTCAAACTACAATTAGTATAAAGGCTATAGTTAGCGCGGTTAACGGTACGCAAATTAATTTATTATAATTATTTAATTATTTAATTATTTAATTAAATTATTATAATTATTTAATTGTAAAAAAAACTTTACTACAAACATAGGTAAATTCAATTTCGTATGTTTCGGCTCAAGTTCGAGTCATCCTCCGCGTAAAACTCTCAAATAGCAAATTATAAAGAATACAACTTATTATAATTTCGTGTACCACAAAACAGCATTGTTACATCACATGATTCGAAAACATTTATTGATTAAAAAATATTATATAGATTATAATAATTATTTGTTTCAACATGTTATTACGTACACTGGAAAAAGTTTGGTTGAAATTAATTAGCATTCTGGTTGAAAATGGACAAATCAGAATTTTTTGATTGAATTTATTATAATTCTAATTGAGATAACCAGATTCTGATTGATATCCCAATCTTATAAATTCAATAAATTGTACTATTTATATATATTATATTTAGCACAAATTGTTCGTCAATTAAAAAAAATGTATTTAAAGAATATATAAAATATTATCAATCTTTCTCGTAAATCATCAAAGAGAAACAATAAAAATAGAAATAAATGATTTTTTTTAACGTTATTACTCATATGGAGTGTCAGCACGTTTAATAATAAATTTTTATAATTTTCAGAAAACTGTGAAACAGTCGTTAAGGATTTACCAGATCCAGATGTTTTTCATGAATTACCGAGTTCTACTATCATTGAACATTTAACGCGGCAAACGTGAGTACATTTAACTTTCTTATCAGGAATATATGATCTTTATATTTATTGAAACACTCCACATGATAGCGTTAAAAAAACCATGCAAGTAAAGATTAAATATAATTGTTATTATTTACTTTTTACCTTGAACGGAACTCTTCTCCGTTTCGTCTTCGGTAAAACGACAATCGCGCTCAAATCTGTCCGTTAATTGTCCGGATATCCTCCAGTCGTGCATCTCTTTCCGTAAAATGTAAATCGGATCATTGTTGCCCGCGCTGGCGACGCTGGTCTCGTCGGACAAGTGAACCTTGTGTTTCACGTCGTCGCGCAACATTTTATTTTCCTTCCGCAAAAGAAGCCGCCGCCCGCGAAGACCTCGTGACTTTGTCGCGCAACTTTTTACAGTGTCCTCGTCCTTCGAAGATCGCGTCTTTTGCGGCAACGTTCCTGCGGATACGGGCTTTTTTCTGTTGAGTATGGACTTCGAGCGACGCTCTGAAGAAATGTTTCTCGAGGACATGTTGACGGCACCTCTTCCACGATCGCGATATTTAGCTCCCTGAAAAAGATTCAACAGCGTCATCAGACATCAATTATAATACAACGCGAGATACATAGATTAATGTACAATCATATATAAATTACTACTTATATAATTTATTGCAAATAAACGATAAAATTAATTAACAGCGTTAAAAAAATGATATATTTGATTTAATGTTATTTATCGAAAAAATCTGAGAACAAAACTTCAAATGTAAAATATTGGATGTATTAAAAGGTCCATTTTTTTATTTTTTGTACTAGACTTACTTCCACCAAATATCAAACATATCTATTTAAGTTACGTTCCAAAAGTGTACATTAGTTTCAACTATAGAAAACAAATCTAAAATGATAATATGCAGATATAGATCCTGTTCTTTTTCAAAGAAAGTTCTGAACTAATATATCCTGATGCAGTTTAAGTTGAAGTAAAACAAATAGTGTACAGCATTTTCTTCGAAAAAAGAACAGGACTATAAATTAGAGCATTCGATTGCAACAAATTAGGACAAAGAAAAGAATTCTTCAGATTATTTTCTGATGATAAAATCCTCTCCAGAATTAAATCGTAACAAAATAGCTTGCTTTACATTTTTTCCATAGAGAACTTATTACATTAATATTATTGCTTATTATTTACCATACGCTTTTGAATTTCTCAACATGTGACATTTGCTGTATGTATATCTCTTTAACGAAAGATATATCGAAAAAAAGAAGAAATTAAATGCAAATCGGCGTGAATCGCCATAACTTACAATCATGTCAGCGATAAAGTGGCGACGTGTTAGAAACGAAGGTTATAAATCTGTGGCGGGACGTTGCCGCACGAATTAGCTCGCTAAACAATCGCGCGATACATCATTGCACTCCGACATTCGAAAACAAAACAAACTGTATTTATTGTTAATCTCTATCGTCGCGTAGGATTTCGCGAAAAACGCGGCGGATGAACTGACGATTTAACGTGCGCGCGTTCTAAAGTTTGTCGGGTGTATACGTAAGTACAGTGCGTTTTAAAAGTTCGTTGAGAAACCCTTGGCTGTCAGCTGTCTCCGGCTCGCGCTCTACCGTAACGAAGACCACAAACTTATATAAGTCTGTGATGAAGACAAAACGTTACGGAGAAACTCGTGCGGAACGGACGCTACGGAAACTCAATTGAACTGAGCGGCAAAACCCCGCTAATCCTCGATTGACGTTCGATTTCCACTATTGGCGTGAACTTCAGGTTTAAAGTTTGAAGTAAAAGGTCATTGACAAGAAGGATCGAACTGAAAGCTCGTCCGTAAAATCCGCTCTAGACGATCCATCAATGTTTCTATAAATCGTGTCAAAAAATTCAATTCGGTACAATGTTCTAATTATTATTTTTCTATTTATAAATTATATTTATTTATGTATTTATTATATTTATAATATAATTGACATTATGTAATATAAATTTAAATTGCGTATTCAAAATATATAAATATCACGTAGGAAATTTTAAATAAAAACGATTTCTCTTGAAAAAACAGCATCTCTTTATGATGCAAAACTACTTTTCCTGATAATGTGTTAAACTATATGTTAAATGCGTGCATTTAATCAATAAAAGTGAAGTATCAATACGAACCATAATAGGTCTGTTTTTTTGTAGCTGAACTTCTTGCACATTTTTTCTCCTTTTCTCTTTAAGTGGAAAGAAAAAAAAAAGATGAACCGTGCAAAAAATTCAACTAAAAAAGAACAAGCCTAATGACTACGTTTACACTGAGAAATCTATACGCGGCCTGACCTACAATGTGACCACCCAAAATAGGTGTAGATATCAATCATTTACACCGTAAGTGGCTTGAACACGAATTCTTTGAACTTTCTGAACACGAAACGTTCGAAGTCCTTTAAACATTTTTTAAACTATTTATTTACGAGATACGATATATGTCCATTACCAATTACGGTGACTATACGTCCTTTATTGTAAAGGACAGTCCTTTATTTTAGATAGCTATTCTTTAAATTTGTTTCTTTCAAACTCAATTTTGTCCTTTATTTTCCAATATTGTCCTTTATTTAACATTACAGGAAATTCTTTTCCGAGTTTTAACTAGCGTTCTATTGTTTAATATTATATTAGTGAATAAATTTTTACGGAAAATATTTTACAGCTTCATATAAATACAAATACATATAAATACAAATTTGTTTTTGTTAATTTTTTATGTCTGAATTTTCAAAATTAAATTTATTCAAACTACAATTGTTTTCATTCTTTATTATTTCGAACCTTTTATTTCAGATCAAAGATTTGTTCCACACACACAGTACAAGTTGAATCATGCAATTTCAAACTAAATATTAGAAAAGTGTGCAATTTGATTACACTATCCAATAAAATTTTCTAACGCACAGATTCTTGATAGTCACAAACTGGTTTGAAAAACATATAGGAACAAAGCCCTACCATTTTCAAATTTGTCCTTTATTTTCTTTAAGAAAAAAATTATAGTCACCATACCAGTGACGTACAGGGTGACTCAGAGTCATTGAACCAGCTTTTTACCCTATGAGAAAATTATCGACTTCATACTTAATTGAATTATAACGTGTGCAGTCAATTATTTTCTCATAGGGTAAAAAATTAGTTCAATGACTCTGATTCACCCTGTATGTCAATTTGAAACTAACAAACATGATGGTAAGTCGATTTATTTCAGGTTATAGGCGACCTATTTCAGATCAAGTCTCCAAAAACCGAAGCCTGGCTTAGGTAGGTCAGGCTTAGGTTTTTGGTAACTTGATTTGAAATACGTCGCCTATAACCTGAAAGAGATCATGTAAATTTTTCCCCTGGACGGAAACATGACAAGGGAAGGGACAATTTTTATGTATGTATGTTCGTACATATACACACATACATACAAAGAATTGTTCCTTATCATGTTACCGCTCTAGCGAAATGTTACAGATCGCTACTTAGGTCTGGCCGTCTGTCAAGTGTTGACAGTAAGGGATCTAAATAATTTAGGTTGAATTTGGGATACAGCGGCCTAAATTCATGTTGCAAATGTAGCCAATGTAACTCGATAACAATATTGTTAATCGTTATTTGAAAATAATGACCTGCATTTGGTAGAAAAAGCAGCTTTGCAATTGTTATAAGATCTTCAATATAATTGCTTCTTGTCTTTAATTCCTCACTGGAATTAAATATACGAAGCTGGATTGCATCAACATTACTCGATTTTAAGCGAGGCTTGAAACTCTCTTTACCTCTCCCTCTCTCTCTCTCTCTCTCTCTCTCTCTCTTTCAGTTTTAAAGAGAGAAAGCGAGAATTTTAAGCCTCGCTTAAAGGCAAAGTAATGTTGGTGCAAAAAAGTTAGACCTATAAACTAATCATATCAAATAAATCTTACAACAGTTGCAAAGCTGTTTTTTCTATCAATGTGACACGACAAGCAACGACACGGACCTTTTGCGTGCCTCGATCCGACATCGATACGGTACATCTGTCGCTCGTTTCCTGCCTTTGGGACATTCGCCGATTTCTTCCAGAAACGATTAAATGATCGTTTAATTAGCCTGATCGTCGTTTGACTTTCACCGCGCATTCGGCTCCTGCCCGAAAAATTTCTCCGTAAACTTACCTTTTAGATGCAGCTGCAGCTTGGCAGCAGCTGGATCCGCGCGCGAATGAATTTCCCGACCGATTTCGCTTCTCTCCCCCTCTTTCAAATAACTGATTCGACCGATAAAACGCTTGAAAGTGACGGAACGTCAGCATTTACGATTGTCAATATATACGCGTTTGAAAATCGAATTGGAGAGCGATATCTGTACAAATAATGTCGAGGAAATCGCACTGCATTTGCCAGACGATCGTTTTAATGGCGGTTTAAAATTTCATTCAAACGGTCGAGTTGTTAACAGACTTCTGTGGTTGCCAACTGCTGAGAATTGAAAGGAATGGGAATAGTTACAAACGCGCCAATAGGAACCGAAACGTAAGAAAAAAAAGACTAAAGACGTTGTTTTGTTTTGCAATACAAGCACTGAATATTTATAAAAATGAAGAAACTAAAAAGCAGTTTAGACGAAAGTAGAGAGTACACGGGAGTGTTAACTACACCGCCTGCTTTTTTACGACCGATAGATGGCGAAAGTGTTCTACACCTACATCGTGTATACATACATCGTGCGCACGTGTTTGTCGGGTTTGTCGTTATCCTTAACCTCAAAATCGCCGAAATTTGGTGTGCAGTTAGATGCGATATTTATGGGAACACAAAGAAGCAGAAACTAACAAAGACATTTTGTATAAGTATTAATCTTTAACAATGGCGATGCAAGTCCCGACCGACGTGGATGCCGATCAGATTAAATCTGTACGTATTTCTAATATTAATTCTTACAATAATTTAGTTATTCCATAAGCTGACTAAAAGTATACTAGCGTTATGCATCATATATATATATATATATATGCATCTCTTCAATGAGATGATAAACTGTTATATGTATACGAGTAATATAATCTGAATATTATTTATATTCAACAGTTTCGAGACTTCTTAACCTCGTACAATAAGCTTTCTGAAATTTGCTTTACCGACTGCATATCTGACTTCACTACGCGAGCAATCAAACCCAAAGAAGAGAAATGTGCCCTTAATTGTATGGAAAAGTATTTGAAAATGAACCAGAGGATATCTCAACGTTTTCAAGAGTTTCAAATAACTGCCAACGAAAATATTCTGGCAGCTAAAAAACAGGGTCAGATAAATTGACTTAACTAGAAAAAATACAAGAAAAATGATCTTGTCACGAATGTCTATCAGAATTTTTATACTGTAATATCATAAAATTACAACATTTGCAAGTTTCTTAAATACCTTTCTCTATATAGTCTGATTTATTTAATATCTAATAGATATTTATTCAAGATCAAAATATTTTATTTTAAAATTAAAAAACATTGTACAGTAAATGATTAGTCATTATACTATATTGTAACATAAAGGCCATTCTACATTGGTCGTGTCATAGCATTGGAAGGGTTGTAAGCATCATGTGACTTTAAAATTGAAGCATTGGATTGGCTAAAGCAACAAGCTTGTGATTTGCGACGTCTACAATATGAACAATGTAGAATGGCCTTTAAATGTTAAATATGTAAATTATGATAGTGATGGAGTTAATGTATGTTAAAAGATAAGTAAACTTGTTTTATTAAATATGGATATGAAAGTGAATTTGATTCTGAACCATTAGTCTTACAAATATTATAATTTTTCCCAGTTTTATAATCCCCAGTTGCATATAAATATTACAATTTTTACAATAGTAAATTACGATAATATATAAATAATTATAAATTTATTAATTAAAAGCAGTGAAGTACTTATTTATATTACAGTTCTTGTAGAATCTCTCTCTCTCTCTCTTCACGTCATATGATTATTATGAATATTAACATTTTCAATTCTAATAGTAAAATAAAGAATTTATACAGAGAACTTGCATACATGTGTATATGTCATATACATTTTGTTTAGAAGAAACAATAACAATGAATATATATATATACATATTTAACTAGATTTGGAATGTCCAAAATCAGGAAACTTTGGCTTTCCTTGTACTTCAATATCCATACTTTCGCTTTCCCATTCAAACGAAGATAATGTTTGTACATTTGCTTGTATATTGTTTTGCGCTTGATTTATAATTTGTGGACTGAAGCTCGTGCTGGAAATCTGTGGCTCCTCTGTTTGCATCGTAGAGTCTGAATTTGGGGAATTTGGCGGTGTTTTACGCAATCTCTTGTAATCTGAGAATCTGTTCAATGATACTTGGTCTACGCATACGGCCTGTGTGGTATGTCGCGTTTTATACAGTATCGGGCAGCCTTGATCGCCCTTCATACTTAAACTATACAAATTGGCGAGTCGACGTAGCTTCTCTCGCTCAGGTTGTCGCATAGGATGGAGTTTCAGCTCGCTCTGCGTGGGATCTTGCAGGAACCGAGAGACCTTCTCATTAGCTGACGTTATTATGGAATAACCGGGCTTGTTGTCGACGTGACGTCGCCCAGCACGGATCTCTCTACCGCTGAGGCCTTCGCGAATGCGTTGTATTCTCTGTCTATAATTTTTCTTGGCCTCTGCAACCGAATGTTCACCGTGCAATATCATTTGGAAGGTCGAATCTGACGTGGCTTTGTCGTCGCTAGTGCTCTCTCCATCGTCCCGCCAACTCGATTCTCCGATCCAATCCGACTGTTCATCATCTCCTGCAAGAATTAGATATATAATTTATAACATACACTGCGTGATGATTTTACATATTCAAGTCCTGTTCAAGTCCAGAATTTAAACTCTTCATTCTTTTTTGATTTTTAGAATTAGGAAAAGATGAAAAATAAAAGTTAATCACATATTGATGGAACCGGGCTTCAGTATTGCTTTTAAGTTCGTCGTACCTTCTCTATCTTCATCGTTTGTAATAAGACCTGCTTCCGAATCACTGGACGAAATGCTAGAACTAGATATACGGGAACAATCCACCGTATCCTCGCCTTGCATTTTATCTCGATTTTTCGGTTTTGCATTTTTGGTTGGTTTAGCTACTCTCATTTCACAATCTATTGAACGTTCCCTACACGATCTCTTACGTTTTCCGCACCTGGAATGCAAAATTAGGCAAATCTGAACATTGTTTCTTATTGTGAATAGAAAATAATTGGATTGTATTTCCTTACCATATAGCACTATATCTATTTTTACAATCGCTTCGAAAGATACGTTTTTTTCCACCGAATGTTGAAGTCGACATAATTGCCACTGCTTGAGAAGTGGATGCATTAGAATCGGAATCGATTGCCATTCTTTTAAATTTCCTTTTGCGTCTGGTGTTCGCTCTTGGCACAAAATTTTCATTTACTGAATCGCTCTCGATATTACTGACGTTATTTAAATTTGGAAAATGTGCGAAACGTTTGGTCTGATTAGGATCGTCGCTATCCGATTGATATTTCGAAACATTGGCAGTTTTTGGAATGCGAATTTCACAAATGGAAGATGAGCTGTCATCCGAATGTTTGTTCATACTTAACGCCGCTGCAAAAATATTATACAATACATTAATTGTTCAATATTACATGATAACTCAATACGTTACTTTTCTCGATGATTACATGCGATTAATATTTAACTTTTTCATGCTGTACAGATTCATTTTTACAAAGATAATCTTGATAATAATCCTGACTGTGCATCACGCAGAAGTAAACTGCAATTAATCGTTGTGTAGGTGCAATTAGAATGCTTGAGATATATCCTTTATTATTTTTAGTTTAATGGAAAATGTTTAATTTAAATATTTTTCATAGGCCTGTTCTTTTTATATAAATATCTAGGTTTATTTTTTCTTTTTTTCTTCTAATATAAATTAATCATTCAAGAACTACAATTCGATACACGCTCACGATGCTCTTGGAATAAATTCATCCTTATTGTTTATAAACTAGAAGTTGTTTTCTATAGCTGGACTATAATATACACTTTTGGAACTTAAAGTGAAATAGATATATTTGAAGATTTGATAGATATGTTTGAAGAAAGAAAGAAAATTCTTTGCTATTCTTTATTTCTGCATTATATTGTCCTCAAATTGAACTTTTCTCGATATATCTTTTTACTTTTTAATTCTAATATCTATTTCTACGAATTATAAATTAACTTTAATCTTGATTTAACTTTTAGAGAGATACTTAAGCTAATGAAATCAATGAACGAACTGGGTTAATTTAGATCTCCCAGAATTTTCTTTAAAATTTAGCGTCGTAAGTATTTCTAAAATGTTAGATAGTTCAAAAAATGATACTGAAAACTTTTTATTATTATTATTATATATTGCTAACTTCATTGGAACAAAAATTAAAGTAAAACAATCGTAGGAGGGCCCAAGTTACTCCACTTAGGCATTTAAGAGTTAAGTAATGTCTTAAGATGCTAATAATATGACGAATACTGTGGTCAATATTCGTAGTCGATTTACTTACTTTTAAGACTGTCATAAGACCAGTTTTAAGATGTCAAGCCAATCAGAAAGCTGTATGTGTTCGTATTAGCACTTAAAATAAGAACGAATTATGAATATTGCCTTTTGATTAGTTCATGTCATCTTAAGATTGTACTTAAGAGTCTTAAGTATAAGAATAGAATATGAATATCGGCTATAATTCTTATAAGAGTTAGAAATAAGTTAATTGAATCGAGATTAAAATTAAATTAGATTAGTAAAACAGATTTACTGTAGAATATACTAAATTACGCTAATCTAGTGCAATTTAATACGGGAATAATAAATAGACATAAGAACAAATAACGCTGCGAGTGAAAATGCATCTTGATTGAGCGTTGTGAAAGTGAATCGGATCATAAGTCATGAAGTTCATCTGAAAAGAACAAGCCTGATGTTACATCGAATTGTTCTCCTTTACACTTACGAATATTCCCTGTCGAGCGGGCTCTCCTTCTGATACCCCATCTACGTCTGAGATTCGCACTGTTGCTGCTCTCTTCCAGTGCCAAAGTCAAATCGTGCACAAGAGCCTCCATTTTTACTCTTAAATCCGCCGGTACAGCTTTCAGAACACGCTCCATTTGAAGGACGCGTTTTTTACTGCAAAACAAACATCAAAGGCAAATGTTATATCCTTTATACAAATGATCCCGCATGTCCGGTAATCGCATGTAATTATCATGAGTATCGGTACGCGACGCAAATTTACATGGCGACTGGTTCATTCTATTATCTCGAAAAATCATGTTTTTATAATGCGAATTTATTAACTTTAAAGTACATGAAATTACAGCTGTGCGACCCGCATCACGATTGACGCGCGATACGCGTGCATTTCTTAATTACGATAATTAATTTGATAATTAATTATCACGACGTCGATTCCGCGACTCGAGTCCGCAAGAAATACGCTTTTATTCACGAGCTGCTTATTCACATCTGATTAGGTATTGTTTCTACGGCGTGGATCCGTGCCGGATAAGTGACGCGATTACTCCGCGATCCATTCTCGAGGATAGGGATGTGTCAACCGATCTCGTTAGCCTCCCGAAACGAGCTCTACGGGAACACACAGATGTGACACCGAAAAGAGGTGCCCATCGGGACGTATCCGCGATACGTCAATCGCCGAGGAGGGGGTCAAAACAAATCGCGATTGCGTCGGCTTTTAACTCTCGTCGGCGTGTGACAATACGTAACATCCTGTCGCTCACCTCTTACAAGTAATGTCCATGAGTCTCGCCTCAAAACTGTCTCATTGTCAAAACCCGGTCCACTCTGTCGATCAATAATGAAATAGATAAAAAGAGAGGATCGTCGAACGTCAAGTAAACGAGAGCTGTCAGCTCGACGAACTATTTTCCACTGTAACGTATGCTTGCACGTCGCAGAAAGGTACAACGAACGGTACGTTTCATTCGGTGCATGCGAGCGGGCAACGCTGTTAGTCGCTTCATGAGAACCCATCCTTGATACGAGGAAACATATAAAAACATACATCGCCGACGCCTTACGCTATTCACGATAGACACAAATAAGTAAAAATAAATAAGGCTACATTCCTAAATAAAATTGCGTTTTTTCCACCGAATGTTGAAGTCGACATAATTGCCACTACTTGAGAAGTAGACGCGTTAGAGTCGGAATCAATTGCTATTCTTTTAAACTTCCTCTTTAAACTTCCTCCGTCTAGTGTTCGCTCTTGGCACAAAATTTTCATTTACTGAATTCCTCGAT